TCACGATGGCGTTCGCATCAGGTAGAGGGAAAAACATGGAATGACCAGCGTCCCGCGCCCAGGCACAGGGCAAATGCTCCGGACTGGCTGATTCCGGAAGAGGCTAGAAGTTCAGCCGAGCGAAACAGCCTCGACGGTTTGCAGAAGCACTGGCTACTCACGCTACTGAGCCACATTCCGTCATGGCCAAAGACGTTGCATAAAACACAAGCTTACAACATCTTGTACGGAAAAGCCCAGTATGTGTCGAGCAACGGCAGCTGTGCCCGCAGCACAGGAAGGAGGCCTGGACGACACAAAACAAAGGCAGAACAGGACCAGATGATACAATTGAGCCCGATCACCCAGCGGCACACAACACAGCCCCATACGGCCGCAAGCCGGCCTCGTTGTTTCTCCGGCACCTGCCAACCGTTCACCTGTAGTGTGTCGTCACCCCTGATTGCCTTGGTGGCTCTCGAGGTGCGTGCCGAAGAAAATGAACAGGAAACAAGGAGCGTTGTAGCAAAGCTTCTTAGATTGTAAGCCCTGCACCTCTGCGTCTTCCATCAACTCACGTGCAGTCTGCGAATCTTCTGAAGTGCCCGCAGACAGTGCCCTCCCCCATCCGGATGGGTAGTCCTGCTCTCCCACGGTCATGGACCCAAAGCCGTGTGCTGCTACAAGCGAAGTGTGGAAGAACACAAAACCTCCAAGTTGACCTGCCCGATGTCCTGAGCGACTTCGCCGAGCGAAAGGAGACCTGGATAAACGCGAGTTTCTAACCCATCCAGACTGTGTGACTGCCTCGCCTTCCAAGCTGGATTCGTTGCTGAGACGCACCGCGCGCATGGCAGCGCGAGCGCCCAAGCGAGTTAGCTCCCATGGCAGGAGTGGCTTCTCAGCTTGCGTAACCAGATCGCTGCGCAAACGACCTTGTGGCTTGTGTATCAGACTTGACGTGTACAGTCGGGGTCTGCCGCTCATGTTTCGCCCCTGTGCCCCTTGCATTCCGCAGGTTAAGGCCGCGGCAAAGGGCAGAAGCACTGTCTGGAAAGTGCTTGGCAATTGCTGCGATGTCTATTCCGTGAAAAGACTCCTCGCTTGCATGGTTAGAGGTTGTGGTCCGTGAAGCACAACATGCAAAGATCTTTGACACTGCCAAGTTTCTGCAGGATCAGAAACCTCACGGAGACACCTGCCATCCACCTCTTCCTGGCCGAGAGCTGAACTGTGTGAGAAAAGGGAAAGCGGTGCGGGGATGACAGACTCTCAGGGCCTCTGCTTCCTGTGGCGAGTCATCGTCCTTGCTCTTGGCAACCTGGGAGTTCTTGGGGCTGCGCGGCTACGCATGAAAAGCCTGAACTCGCCTGGCCTCGTCGGCACTGCGGGTCATCAGCTCGAGGCCTGGCATCAGATTCGGCTTTCTTCGAACATCTCAGAACTAGAACTTGCCGAAGCTGCCGTACCCACCGAGAACTGCCGGCGGCGGTTCTCCTCGGGTGTGTCGGCTGAACATGCTACGCCCACCATCTCGCGTTGGTTGCTTCGTGCCAAGTCCTGCGGGCGTCGCATGACGGAATGCCACCCTGCCATAGCTGCTGGCAGTGGCGAGGGCATCGGCAGCTTCAAGAAGAGCTTTCCTGACAGCGGCCACAGGTCGGACTGACGACAAAGAATTTACTGGAACCCTGCATCTGTGATGTTTTCTAATGTTCGGCATGTCAGTGTCTTTTGAGGCCCTGGTCGCTGGATGCTGGCTAAACAGAACGTATGACGAGGCAATGATCAAAAACCGCTCACTGGAGAGAACACTTCTGTCAAGTATGTCATGCTTCTTCGGCCTTACAGGCTGCCTTTTGTATTTTGTACATACATGCATACATGCCCGCATGCATGCATACATGCATAGGTACCTACCTCGATGTGTGCATACGTACAGACATACGTAGCACAACAACCAATGTATACATGTACTTTGTGCGGCCCATGGCTCAGTAGCTGAGAGGCCCCGGAAGGATCACCAAGATCTCCATAGCCAATCAGCTCTGGATAGGAATCCTTCGTGAGCATGTTGCCGGACAGAGTTTGGACTGGCTCGTGCACAAACGCTCGGATTGATTTTAGCTGCAGGTGCTTCATGCAGCAGAATGCTGCAATTCGCCCTAATTACTTCGACACAAAATTTATTGCATCCGCCTCCTCAGCGATGAACTCATACAAGACGTGATCCAGCCCACCTTGCTTCTGCGGTTCCAGTCTTTGCGTGTGGAACTAAGATTGGAATGACAGGACCCAAACCTGCAAACCTTGTGCTGGATTCTCTCCTTGGCAGGCAAAGCCACTTCGTCGCGGAGCGCCACTCAGTCGTCCGAGCGACGTTCCCGGCTTCGACCCCGTGAGCACCAACTTGCTCAACTTGGCAAGCTCCTTCCCACAAAAGACCTAAGCGTCGAACGCTCGGCACATGGGTTTTAGTGCGATGACTAGACCAGGCCACGAACACTGCTAGCAACATTGCTACTTATCATCTGAGCGGCTTCAGTGTAGCCGCCCTTCGAGTGCAGCATGACCCACGGCTGCCCGATCGGGCAAGTCCTTGGCACTTTGTCACTTAATAGTAGATTATTGCTTTCTCTTCTGGCACTCTGCCAAGGCACACGACATCCAAACGACCCTGCTCCTCAAGGATGGCCCTGTCCGCTCGCTCCATTCCTTCGGCAGGTACTTGAAAAGTCCAACCACGGTTATGATTCCATGATCGGTGCGGACTGTCCTCGGGCTGCCTCAACAACTGCCGAGGAAAATGAATGCCGTGCTCTCAGAGAGAGCAGCCTTCGCAGCTCTGCGGCGATCCGGGGCTTGTTCGTGCTGACTGTCTTTAACTACCGAAACGACTTCCTGGCAAGAGAAGCTTCAGACAATCCAAGTGCCCTCCAGAGTGGTGGAAAGGTCCTAAGCGAGGTTCGTTGGAATCCCTCTCCCGCATCTTCCACCTGCCATAGGCCGAATTGCCCTGGCAGCAGAGAGCCGCGTCGGCGTGCTTGGCAGCATCCTGGCGCCACTGGGAACTGGAGCTCCCAGAGAGCGCACGGAGAAAGGTTGCACCTTCAGGTGACAGGCCGTAAGACTTGCGCGTGCACACTGCAAATAGCACACAGCTCGGGTTCACTCTCGTTTGCATGCAGCTGGCGACATCTCAAAAGTGTCAGCATCACGCTGCAGTGGGTCCACACACAGCGACGTCGTGCCACTGCGTGCACACCACACATGTGAAAGAGTCGACCGATGGTTTGTTGGCGGCGATTGTCACCTGCCATGAAAATTCAAGAGGAGCGTGCGCTGTCAGGGGGCCTATGCCACTATCCTCCGCCGCGATGAACGTTTGCCACCTTTGGCGTCCCCTGAACCTTGCAGCTATTTGCTGTTGTTTGGCTTTGCAGATTTAGCAGCTCGGCTCAGGGGAGTATGGTGGAGTCCTTCATTCCTGTCCGGACCGTGCACCCGCCGCAGAAACCACTCACACAGGTGGCACATTCATAGCTCGAGAAGGATCGCCTGCACGACTCGAAGCAGTGCTTGCTGCTGCAATCGTAGCAACCAGAGAAGCACGCCTTCATGGCGCATTTCGCATAGCATCCAGCTGGATCGGTGGTGGGGTAGCAAGGAGTACCGCAAGAACTGAGCAGAGCACCACTGGATGCGCAGCTTCCAGCCCTTTCTGCAAGCATCTTCACAGCAGCGGTGTCATTGTCTGCCGGTGGTGTGGCAGCTTCAACTGCTTCAGCCAACGCATCATCCAGGTTCGCTGTGTGAGCCTGGAAGTCCAGTTCCGTGCTGCAGACGGTGCATTGAGATTGCAGGCACGACTCGCAGGCTCCGCTTCTGTGCCCACCTTCGCATGCACTTCCACAGAAGCGGCTGCCGCAGTCAAACTCTGACCCGAGGCAGTCAGCACAGGCAGTCACCACATCTTGTCTCTGAAGGCAACTTGAAACACAGATCACCCTGTCCTTGCTTTCCGAGCACTGGTTGCCACAAGTCTTCAGCTTCAGCTTGTTGTCGGCAAGGCAAGTGGCGCCTGCCCTGTGCAGCGCCAAAAGGAAGGTCCCAACGATTATGGCCGTCTTGAACATCTTCGCGCAACTTCAGGCTGTTGGTCCGACACTCGAGCCCCAAATCGTGCTGCAGTGGTGCAAGCAGCTAGCACAATGAGCAACTCTCGGAAATCAGAAAGCCTGAGACTTTGCCACCGCTCTGGAAGCGAAGCTCGCTCTCTCTCTCTGCCTCGGCCAACTTCTGCCAGGCCCTCGAGGAGCTCGGCTGCCAGAGATGCGGCAGGCCACGCAGCTTGGACCGTCACCTCCACCTCCAATCCCTCACAGGATCAGAGCTCAGGGGATCACATGATGGAAACCTGAGGCTTAAGGCCTTAAGTCCCATGTCTCTTCTCTTTCTCACGCCTTCCTCACCAATTTATTTATGTCACGACTTACAACCTGTCTCCAAGGTCAGCGGCAAGCCACAACCGAAGTCGGCTGCAAGCCGCAGGCGAGCAGCAAGCACAGCACCCGAACCGAGACAGGGCAGCCCGTTCCTGACTCGCAATTGGAGCTGCAGGTCATGCGACCCGCATTCCATCACTGTGCAACTCCGAACCTGTTCGCAGCCTCGACCAACAGTGTCTAAGTATGTGTGCACAGACAGGCGGCGTGGCATGACATCGCTGAACCACATGTGCGCCGATGGGCTGCTGGATCAAAGGACCGGGGGCCTAAGGATGCTGTGGCTCGAAGATCTGCTCTACGATGGTTTATGCATAGCAACTTCGAAAATGGTCAACTTCGAGTTTGGTAGGGTTGCTAATGGTCGGTGGGGATGCTGCGGAACTGATGGCATTTGTGACAGTCACCTCCCTTCTCATCGTAATCTGGATGTGTGTTCCTTGTGGCTGCGTTTCGGATGTCCAGAACAAGCAAATGATGTTTCAAAACGCAATGCTGGTATTACCATGCTCCGACCTGGCTCTCTGCCAGAAGATGCTCCGGGACCTGGACGCGAAGCAATCCAACAAGTCACAAGCGGCATTCTGCCGCGCATCCCTAAAGTTGATCTGAGCCATTGAGACGAGGGTCTACTCTGTTTGCCGGCCGTGTGTGCGCAGGCAAATGGCCCTCGGCGCCGTGCTGCAATCAGCTTGCTAGTTGAATAGAATCTGCAGAATCTCAAGCTAGCCTTGTCGACGATCTGCCGAATGGAGTCCTGAAATTCTGGATCTTGCATGCGCTTTGCCTGAGTTTTCCACAGACCGTTCAGAGAACGTGGCTGCTGACACGAAGGCGTTGTGCTGCCAGATGGCAATGTGGCACGCGAGGTCACCCAGGACTTTCGGCTCCATAGGCATGCTTCCGATCTGGTGCGATGAGGACTACAAGATTACTGCAAGACCGTTGCGTTTTGTTGTTGCAGTGCTCTATCAGGCAGCAATCTCTCAGGATGGCAGACGCTAGCCTTCTGGATGAATGCCTTGGACTGTGCAACCTCGAATCCCGCAATGCGATCAAGACCGTGATGACTGTGTTTGCCAAAGTTAGAGAGGTTGCTCTGCATCTTGCTAGACTGCACTGGCCGAGACAATCAGTTGGACCTCGATGAAGAACTTGGGTCCCGGCAGCATTCGGAGCACACTCCGACAGCTTGCCACCTCAAAACAGGCACGCGGAGCCCATGCTCTTTGAGAGCTGCAGTTTTTGCACTTTGCATTTTACTGCGTATCATGTCAAGATGCTGTGCCCGTGAGTCGCATGCAATCCGATCCGTTTACTGTAGCCGGGAAGCAGATCTGCGCTAACAGGTCTTGTAGCTGTTCTTCGCTGTGTAGAACACCGTAGACCAGCCCAAGTTCCTAGCATCTCGCTTGGATTGCTCTGCGAAAATGCGCAGCAATCTCAGCAAGAGCCAATGAATTTGACAGGGGAAAAAAGACAATTAGATGTTAAGACTTGCGCGGTCCTTTGCTTGGACTGCTGACAACGGGATCCCGGAGCTCGGCAGCGCGACCTCCCATTCGGCCCGGCTTGCAGCGCCTAGTTGCCTAGCTCAGCAAGCAGCGAGCCATGCCTGATTCAGGCAAGGACAAAGGAAATCTGTGACGCCAGGGAAGTCGAGCGAGAGACTCGAGAAGTCAAAGCTCGCCTCCGATGCCCCAAAACATGCGCCATCGCCACGCTCCAACAATGCGCTTTGCCCTTGGGCACGCCTGCACTGTCACCACTGCATCGAAGGTTGAGCAGAGTACGAGGCCCGATCCAGAGATTTGCCCGCTCAGTGTGCCCAATACAAACATCGGCAGCATGTGGAACAAAACCAGTACCTCCAGGAAGGAAACATTCTCGGTATGTGAGCACGGGGATCTTCCAATACTTCGATAATCGTTCCTCTACGGCGGCGAACCTCGTGGAACCGCTCTGCGAGAGCCGGCGGCACGAGAGTGGACAAACATCCGTCGCCTTGCCTTGGCATCTGCACCTGGAGAAGTCGCACCTCGAGAAGATGAACGCCCGCTGAGCACGGCGAGTACAGATCAGCCTTTCATGACGGGTGGCCTTCCCCGCACTTCGGTGGAGCTCTGCGAGGGCATCCACAAGGCCGGCCAGCAATGCATCTATCTCGTATTCTGGGAAGAGTTGCATCCTGAGCTCTTCGGATGGGCTAGCGCCGCCCAAATGGCAAGCCATTCATGAGCCCTCATGAACCTGCGCCGAGTTACGAAGCAACGTGCCTTGGCGAGGGGGCTGCAATCAACGATGATGACAAGCCCGGACTCAAGTAACTGGCTAAGCTGCTGCCCAGCCATCACCATCTTCACAGCCTGCAAAAAGAATCGAGCAAAGCGAGTGCACCTGCCAGGGAGCTACCACTGCATCTTCCAACCTCGTGAGACCAACCTTCAGAGCTCATCCGGGCCGGAGGGCCGCGACCAGGGTGCCTCTGCAGCACCTGAAAGCGCGCGCCAAGAAGGTAGTGTACCATCACTTGGCTCAGCAGAGGAGCTATGCACCACAATGGCGTGACGCAGCCCCGTCCAAGGATTGGCTGGCAGCCATTCGCAGCCACTCAACAACAACACAATATACAGATATGCTATACGGAAGGACTCTCTGTGAACAAGCAGCGCAAGGTGCAAAGTGTAAGGACGCAAAGGTTTCACTACCTCACAAAGCTAATCCTGTGGGGCAACGCAGCCGTGTTCCGTTCGGAACGACGGATGTGAGCCTCCTCTACATTGTTCGTGTCATTCGGGCCACAGCCAAGTTCGCCCAGCTTTCCCTAAGCAGCCAAATGGTCCATCTCACCGGAGTGCACCGTGTCGAATCCAATTCACTCTGTACACAGTAATTAGTCTGTACACGCAGCGCGGTGTTTCCCCAACGTTCCGGCACTGCGGCCCCTACACACAAGCGCACATCTAAGGGTAAAAGAAGGGAATCAGTCAAAGACTATCGAGCCATTCTCGGACGGTTTCGGTTGCAATGTCTGGCCGCATCAGGTCTTTCAGCTCGTCGGCCCGCTGGCTTACAACATCGAGAACCTTCTCCTGCAGCACATCATCATAGAAGCCAATGCGCTGCGACAGACATCAGGGATCATCAGAGCATGGTCCCAGCGCTCCTTCCACAGCTCCGGCTCCTGCTTCACTTCGCATTGCCATGAAGCTCCTTTCCGAACCAGGGGCAATGCCCGCAAATCTGAGCATGTCAGCGGACATTTTATGAGTCTGAGCCTTGAAACGTTTCCACGAGGAAGCACCGAACCCCGGAATCGCCGGAGTCTCTTTTCACCAGGTCGATGTAGCCAAGGCACTGGATCTTCTCCTCAGACGTGTCCGGTCAAGTTCATGCAACCTGCAAGAGCCTTTGCAGACCAAGTCTCGTATTCCTTCAACGTTTTGAACCTTGCATCCCGTGACGCGAAATTCCATGCACTGCACATTCGTCCCCATTCCATTTGCTGACCAGGTAGCAGCTTGCCTCAGTTTGGAGAGCAGCTACACCCTGCCATGTAGAGCCCGTCAGGCGATGTCCTACCAGCAAGCTGCCAGCCACAGCCAAAGGCGCGCTGGCGAGATTTGTGCTCGAAAATGTCGATACTATGGCATCCCTCATCGGACATCTGCCTCGTGGCGCGGCTGTTGCAAGGGGGCCACGCTTTTCGTGAGATAACATCGCTTCGTTCGCCTCGCGCCTCTGAGCGTCGATCTTTCCCCGCAGCAGAAGGCCGGGGGCCACCTCGGCGCTGTAAAGCCTCGGCTCGGCGATCGGAGACGATTCTCTGTTCTGCAAAGGCTCCCACAGTCCCACAGAGACTTCTCGGCGACTCTCGCCAAGGGGCTTTGTGTTGCCGGCCTGGAAAGGGGCAGCCCTCTTGGCAGCCACTTTACGAAGCTTCTTGCTTTCGTCCTTCATGGATTGAATGTCCTTTGCGATCGTCTTCGCATCCTCCCTGCGAGCCCAAGCATCGGCCAAGAGTTCCGACATGACAACCAACCCCTCGCATTCCCTAAGTGGACCGCCACCGCCTTCAGGCCTTAGGGCCTCCCAAGACACGGAATCTTCACACATTTCGCCCCTTTGAGTGGCTCTGGGATGGGCCATGTTCTCTGGAGAAAGAGTTCGTTCTTTCCCGAGCTATGGAACTATCGAAAAGCACGGAGGGCGGAACAGCTCATGGAAGAGATGGGCCTCGCTGCTATCAGATCGCTCTTCAGCAGGAAGTCAGCCATTGCGGGATCTTGCTTTCGAAAAGCCTCCAACAGCTCCTCACGCGTTGGGCTGGCATGCAGGCTTACACCGAAAGAACTAGGCTGAGCATGTGTGCTGACATGCTGCATTCACCATCGTTCACCTTCCGATCAGTCCTGCATGTCGCCGATTGCATCACTCTGCAGTGTGAGCAGTTTCGCCCCCTGTATCGCGACAAGACACGTCTACTCACTCCGTCTACTCTATTCGCTACACGAAGGTCCATGGGTCTTTCAGCTCTGGGCCCTCGACCATTTGCAGTACCTTGCCTCAAAAATCGGGCGGCATACGGCATGCTCATACCATGAAGCAGAGAAGAGCACATGCGGCCTAGTGACTCCGTGTCTTCTCCTGCTTTGCCCGCTTCTTCTCAGCAGCTTCGGCAGCCTTCAGGCCCTTGCGCTCACCTTTGACACCACGTTTCATCTGCACCTCTGATTCCTGGGAGGACGTACAGTAGCGCCCGACTCAAGGGTGTCTGTGCTGATGTGTCACTGCAGCGAATCCACAGCGCGACGACTGAGGTGCCCTCGAGCTGTCGTGCCACCTGGGCCGAGACATTGAGCCCGTGGCGCTTTGCATCCACTCGTACAGCTTTCGGTGCCGCGACGGCTGCACTCTGGAGCTTACCTGTGCATCGCAGAGTTGCCCGTACTTCAACAGCCACACATCACGGCTCAGCGCCCGTGGCCGCGAGCGCAGGCTCAGGACTGGACGAAGCAGAACTCGTTGACCGGGGCTCAGCTGCTTCTTTTCAAACGCAGCTGCATCCTCCTTTGTCCGCAGACCTTGCAAAAAAACCAAAGCAGGCGCAAGTACTGGCTTTCGATGCAAGTCCGGTTTCTCTGAACCGGCAGTCGACGCACTTCCGCTCCATACAAGCGGCCAGCATCTCGCTCAACCAGCTTGTTGTACACAGGTAGGAAATTGGCTTTGATGATGTTCCGCCAGCCCACCTCAGCCAACAGGAGCTCCAAGCTTCACCGCACTTTGACAAGGTGCGCTCAAGTTTTCTGCGAGCTGCTGAACTCTTCTCGAACGGGTTGCGTCCAGCAAGAGTGGCGAGTCTCGAGCACTGAACTGCTAGCGGTCGCATGCGCCGCAGCCTGTGTGTCGCTGCAGCGAAAGACCAAAACGCACAAAGACCTCGTGCATCAAGATAGATCTAACTGATATACAGATTCCTGGTAAAGACCCCTATGGAAGCGATCCTTACAGAGGTGTGTCATCACCGCTTGTCGTGCGTTCTGACTACACATGAAAACGGGAGTGTTTGTGCTCGATTTTGTATGCTGCACAAGCTGCACAGCAACTTCTCCGTCACTCCATGACAACAACAGCACGACCTTGGCACTCAGGGAAGTGAAGGCCTCTGGGCAACACTCAAGTCATATCAACTCTCTTCCAGTGCCACCTCGCGACCGTCAACAGGATTAGGAGGCACTTCGGCATTGCAAGACGGCTCTGCCGTGTCTCTACACACGAGGAAGCTGCCGCGAGCCAGAACGACAAATCATGAAATCATCGAAGGTCCCGGGCCATGTAAACTGTTGCTGATGTCGGCATGCCTCCTCGACGAAGCAATCGGCACCTGCAGCCGAGGACTTTGATCTGTGAAACTATCCTCCCTAGGATGGTCCTCGCACTCGGCCGCTTTCACTTCTCGAAATGATCTTGGTCGGCGCCTTGCCCACGAGGCATCGGAAAGAGTCGTGCGCGGCAACGGTGTTCGCCTTCCATGGAGACATGGTGCAAAGCGTGTCCTCTGGAGTTTCCACACAGGAGTGTGCCAGCCTGTTGTCTTGAGACTCGAGCGGTCGTCCAGGCTGCGTCTTGCGACTTCTTTGGCCTCGCGGCAAGACCAGTTGTTGGCAGCTAGCCAACATCATTCCAGACGACTATGAAGCAGAAAGTCACATAGTTGCCTTCGTCACCGCCCAATCGTCGGCATCCGCGTATGAACCTTCGAGGATCTGGTGAACCAGCCTGGTCCGGAGAGTGTCGACTAAACCCTTCCATTGCTTCTCTCCTCCATTCGAGGCCAAGCTGCCCAAGCTCTTTGGCTTCCAACATGTCCACGTCCTCTGCCAGCATGCACAGCTGACGCATTTTCGCCACACCTGGCAGAGATCTCGGGGACACACGGTTTCCCCTCACACTGCACCGCGCCTATCTTTGCAATGATGCCCTGCCAGGAGCAGCACGCTCCCAGACCACGGGCGGCTTCCTTGAACTTAAACATCGTCCTCAGCTCAGCACCCGTACCTTGGAGCTATCTGCCAGATCATGCTTGTAAAGTCGGTCCTCTTTGCTGGTGCGACCACCAAGTCCATGGAAGCAACGATGCTGATGCCCGCACCCAGCGTCGAGCCACGGATAGCTGCCACCTCGCCGGGTTTGGAGTTTGGGGTCCTAAACCCTAACAACGAAATCCTTCCGATGCAGCAGAAGGCGACAGGCCTTGAACTGCGGCAATGTGTTCAGCAAGTAAACTAGCTTGGCGAGCAAGAGATTCGATGCTGTAGTCATTTCGAATTCACTGACTCCTGACTGGAACGTATCTGACGGCTCACTGACATCAGAGCAAGAGACCGGTTGGTTGTTTAAGTCCGCTCCTGGATCCAGCTTGGGCGCGTACTCGGCATCGTCCGGGGCAACGTCTCCACCTTGGCAGCTGATAGCAATGATAGCAATACAAGGCACCAAAAGTGGCAGCAGCACGAGTGGCTTTGTCTGCAGCAGCAGGAGCAACACACGCAATTACATCGCCGAGTCTGGCACCGAAGGCACCACCGCTGCAGAAATGAAGCCCTGCTGCCGTAAATGCGATGACTTTAACCTAGGAAACAAGGCAGTGCAGAGAGGCTCCGTGATGTACACAAAATAGGTCCCACGAGACTCTACCAAGGAGCATCATGCCGTCCGTGCAGTTCAGCACAGATGTCCAGCAAAGCGGACATCGTCTTGTTGGTCCTCAGCTGCAGCTGCTGCGGATCCAAACGGCATGCTGATGCCGTCGATGTCGAATTCAAGGTGATTGAAACCGAAAGAGGGAGAGAAGCAGACGAGAGAAGAGAGACTGAGAGTTGCAGAGGAGGGGAGGGGAGGGGAGGGGAGGGG